ATGGAGGCCATCCTTCTCAAGCTCTCGTCTCAGAAAGGGACGCCGATGTAAAATGTCTCAGGGATGACAGCTCTTCTGTGTCTGGGGCCACCCTGCCGACCACACTGATGATCTATGTGCGGTTTTGCCTGGCCACCAGCAGGGCTTCAGTGCCGGCTTAGAGGCCCCCATTGGTGTGAGATTTGAGGGAGCTTGGGAGAGGATATGTCTAGCTCAAAATAGTCTTTTCTTCTGCCTGTTGTTCTCATTTTTACTCACTCCTTTGGCTGGAGAGAGAGCCTCCAAAGAGCGTTTGCTGACATGCGAACAGGCACTACGTCATGTTGGGGGGGCACATCCTCATTGCACAGGTGAGGTCATCAGTGACACAAGACAAACAGGGTCTATGGCTGAAGGCCCAAGGAAAGAACCGGGGCTGCCACCACGAGTCCCCATCTTGGTGGTGGGGTCAGGGTGGGACAGCCCCTGGCCCATACTGGGCAGCAGGGATTTCACTCTGTCTTTGCTGGGAGGGCAGAAACTGAAAGATGGAGGAAAAGCAGGCAGGAGATGGAACAGTGGACAGGGGATGGGATGAGGGAGTTGAAACCCCTGTCCTTTCCAAATCCCGCTTGGGCCAGGGCAGTCACTGCTTTAGGGAATCTCTCTCTTGCTCTCACCCAGAGATCGGGCTCCTTTATAGAATTCCAACCAAACTCACTGACATCCACCACTCTCGAGTGGATTCGGACTCACATCACCCCTATAGGACACGGTAGAACCGCCCCTGTGGGTTTCCAAGATTGTCACTCTTTATAGGAGTACAAAGTGGCTGGTGGTTTCAAACTGCTGACCTTGTCGTTAGCAGTCCAATGCACAACCACTAGGCCACCAGGGTTCCAGGGGTTCAAACAATTTCCTTTTCCTATTTGAAAGAAAGACTCCTCAAGCTGCCTGCTAGCTCCAAGTTCCCTGCAACCTTGGTTCCCCCAAGCCCTGCCCTGCGTCCACCCCTCCACTGGCTTCTTACTGTCTTCCCTTGGCTCTAAGACTACTTTTAAGTAGATGCCACACGGACAACAGCACCCGAACAGAATTTTACAGCTGTTTGGGAAGATTTCTCCCCCAGCACATGGTGGGGTGACCAACTATTCTTTCCATGTTTTCTAGGGGAGGACATCATGTTTTACTGCTCATTTTATGCTTTCACGATCAACTTGGACACACACAGAGATTTGAGCTGAGATGCTGGCCTGGTTCGCACACAAAGCAATCCAATCTAGCAGCTCTGACTGCAGAGGCAGAATGTTTTCCAGTTGTGGTAGGGGGCCAATCATGTCGAGAAGGAGCCAGCTGTTTCCTGTTAGTTCCCCATGTGCCTTTTCACGTAGATGCTCATGTTGCAAAATTTATTTTCTGTGAAGATGGATTGTGAGAGTATTATATATCATCTCTGTCCTCCTCCCCAATCCTATATTCTTTCTGGGAAAATCAGAATGCTTTCTCTTATGGTCATTTAGCCTGCTGTCACCATGTTCTGGTCAAATGCCAATTTTCATTTCATTTTTCAGCTACTTAATGGCTCCCTTCAATAACTGCGTTGGACCAGGTATTCTTCACAGCCTGATCAGGAAGGACAAGCATGTTGTTCATTTCACCCTGATGTCTGCTCACTTGGGATCAAGCCTACACAAAAAAATGGCATTTTGCTTCCATGAACCAAGTACCGTATATAATCGGGTATAAGCTGACCCGAATATCCGCTGAGGCACCTAATTTTACCACAAAAATTGCATTAAAAATGTGCTGAAAAACTAAGCTTATCCTCAAGTATACTCGGTAGTATTTCTCATGGAATGTGGTCAGGAGGCCTCACCTTAAGCTAGCACTTTGGCAGCAAAGCAAACGTGTGGAATTGCTTACCTGAGATTCCTATTTATTTCTAAGCTACATACAATGCCTGCTCAGAACTCTGATGCCGAGAGAAAAGAAAACGATCCAAAGTTCGGAAATGAGATGAGCTAGAATCCAAACACAGCTGTCCCCTTGTCCTGTACCACACGACGGAACACCTGTCTCAGAGCCAGCTCTCTCTGGATGCTCCGGAGGGCTGGTCGAGTCTCACACCCTCCAAACCGGAGATGCCTTCTGATAGGACCCAGAGGTCAGCATGGCGTTAAGCGGGAGGGATGGCACTCAGGGTTTTCTCGTAAGGCCTCTTCCACTAGCAACAGGTAAGTTTCCATCTTTAAGAATGTGTGAGCTGCCTGGTGTTTCCAAGAACACCACCACTCCCCAAATGCACCATTCTCCCCCACCCAGAAAACAGAAGTGAGACTTCATTATTTCATTCACACGCGTCACCATGCTGGCTAGGCTGCTGTCTCATGGAGAGCTCCAGCAAAGGCTCTCCCTTTGGCAGCAGTGTATGCGAACGGTTGACAGATAGTACTCCGGGTGGGGTGTTAGGCTAACACTTATGCAATTATTCTGTCAGAGGGTAGATCAGAACACACGTGCGGCGGGAACTCATCTCCTAGCCACAGCACAGCGCGAGGGGCTGCCCGCCAGCATCCTTCTTCACTTTGTAGGACAAGCAGATCACTTTTAGACACAGTCCTGCTTGGCAGGACTCATCAGAAGTGGCCCTGCCCCTGGCTACAACACAATGTGATTTGTAGGCAGAGCCAAAGAGCCACGGCTTCCTTCGGTGCTTCTAGCTCTTGAGGACGCAAGACACACTCAAAGAATCGGTTATACATTTCAAGATGTCTCATGACCCATGTGATGTTCACTTGACTAAGGCAAAAAACAAAACATTCTCAGAGCAGCTGGGGAAGAGGAAGGCAATTTGAGGTCATGGCTACACTTGGTCAATCAGTGTGTGAGTCACCGGGGTGGAAGGTATCATGCAGGGACCTCAGGGGAAGATTTCATTCTATAAAGCCACACAAAAGGACAAGGGAGGGGGAGGGTCTTCCCTGGGCAGCTAGCCACTGCTTTTAGACAGGGGCTGGAACACCAGAACTGGAAGAGCTAAAGGTGGCTCCTTGCTTTTTGTTGTTGTTGATCTCTTGCTGCTTCAGAGCTACAACAGAGCTGGGAAGTTGCACAGACACAGTGTGGGCCACAAAGCCTGGGAAGCTGGGCTAGTTGTCAATTTACACGCAGTCCTGCTGCCCAGCTCGGGAGTACAAGGCTGTGAGGTTGCTGTGTGTATAAGTAGCAGGGTAGTTAGTTAAGGGAAGATTGGGGAAGTCACAGAACTAACACCGTTTTCAAAAAGAACACCCGCAATGCTAACACCTTTCATTGGTATAGCATGTTTACCTTTGTGTGACGGATTGAATTTCCCAAAAAGATACGGCGAAGTCCTAACATCCGTACCTGGGATTATGACCCTGTTTAGGGATCGAGCATCTTCTGTTATGTTCATGAGGCTATACGAGGGCAGGGTGGGTCCTAACCCTAATTTCTTCTGAGTGGTTCTTTATAAAAAGAGAAACTAAACTGTGAAAGTCTGCTTCTGTAAAGAATTAGTCTTAGAAATGTTTTATATATACAGGGTTGCTGGGAACTGCGATTCACACAGTGGCAGTGGCTTTAGGCTTAATTCTTATATTTACACAACTCCATAATCAGTTTATGATACAAGACTTATTAGTGTCTATGCAAGGGCTCTGAATAGGAAAAATACATAGAAGATGTGGTCAAACTTAAGAGGCATGGGAAGTTAATGAACTACAGGGAATATACAGTAGTTCCATGTGCCTGCACACTGTGGACATGAGTTCTCTCTGTCTTACAGCTTCCTCCTTTGATTCCAGATCACACCCTGATCTTCCTCTAGAGAACCTGTGCTCTCTCTGCTCTGTACTTCTCTGACCAGGGTTCAAATGATACTCCTAACTCTATGGTAGGCAAAGGACTCCCACCCCCTAGCCAATGGGAACTAGCCCGTGGAGTTTGGTTGAAACCAAGTCCTCTTCCAGTCCTGAGGGACTAGGAATATGGAAGCCTGGAGCTGCTGAGAGTCATCTTTGCTGCCACATGGAAGAAGGCCGTCGGGAGCCCTGGTGGCCTAGCAGTTACACACCGGGCCGCTGCCCTCAAGCTCTGCAGGGGAAAGATGGGGCTTTCTACTCCTGTCCAGAGTTACAGCCTCGGGAACTCACAGGGACGGTTCTACCTTCTCCTACAGGGCTGCTATAGGTGGGCAACCACTCAATGGCAGTGAGTTGAGAAGAATGAAGTCAAGAATAAAATGAAATATCAGACTGGGGCGGGGCGGGGGGGGGGCACGGGGGGACGGGGGCAGGACACTGAGAAAGGGAGGAGAGGTAGTGACCAGGAGAGAAAGAGAGCTAGACAGATGGAGAGGAAATGAGTCCTAATGACATAATCTGGGTTTAATTTGCCTGAAGGAATTGGCTATTGGGATTTTTAATTACACCGGTTTAGCAGGGATTTTATTTCGATTGTGGACCTATGCAAACCTATGGGCCTCAAAGGCATGTCTTCCATCCAAAGCAGTGGCAGGGCAGGGTGGGACCAGCCACAGCAGTGGACGTCTGTGAGTTCTAGCCAAGAATGGGATTCCATCACTGCACCCTTCGTGAGATATTTCTGTATTTGGTTAAGGTAGTTTTTATTTTATAATGAAACTGTTGAAAAAGATTTGGTTTTCTTGGCAGCATTCATGGTGCTAACCTTCAGGAATTTTGTAATAAAGACCATTGGGTGAGGCTTTGTTCTCATCACTCATATAACGTTGGGGCGAATTTCAAACGCCAATAAGCGATGCGTATCAGATTTCCTTTCAAACGCCTGCTCTCCCTTTTTCTTTGTTCACCCCCAACGATTCCAGCTTTGGCCTGGAGGGCTTTAAAAGACTCAGTGGCGGAGAGTTATCCAGTGACGGACGTCTGTGTGTTAAATAAACAGTATTGCCCATCTGGTGGGTTTCCCTATAGGCACAGCGCGAGGCCAGAGTGTTACAGCGCGGATGCACCATCACTCACCAGTTGTGTAATTCGGCGAAGGCCGCTTTGATCTTTTTCACCGAACTGTCCACTTCTTCTTTGATCATGACGCGGTATCTGGTCAGAGAGACAGTGCAACGCTGCAAATCCTTCACTGACTTCTCAATATTGGGACCTAGAGTGAATGTCAAGGATCGGACAAAAAATGAAGTTTAAATCCAGTACTTTCCTTTTTTACTTGTGAAAGACACAAAACAAAGCAAGTGACTTGCCAAAACCCAGATTTTGTGTTTTGCCTCTCAATGGGGGTGGGTGGGGGCTGGAGTGAGGATATTCATTACACAAAGATTTTTTTACCCGAGGCAGTGTGTGTGTGTGTGTGTGTGTGTGTCTGTCCTTTCTCTGACACTGCTGGGCTTCCCGAGTGGCCGTTGGAGGCACACTTGTGGTATAGTGGTTAGGCAATGGGCTGCTAACCCCAAGGTCAGCCGTTTGAAACCACCAACCACTCCCTGGGAGAAAGACGAGGCTTTCTACTCCCATGAAGGAGTTACAGTCCCACAAACCCACCAGGGCAGTTTGACGCTGTTTTATAGGGTCGCTATGAGTTGGCTTCGACCCAAGGGCAGGGAGCTTTTTTGGCTCCTCTGCTCTCCACCAAGAGGCTCTGAGAGTGTCTTCTATCATCAATGGCAGTTTCCTAGAAGCTGATGTGCTGCAGACTGTGGGCTGCTGGCTCGCTCTGTGCACGCCTCTCTGCGTGGTTAAGAAGCACCAGAGCTTTGTGAAGAGGGCAATGACCCGGAGGGGGAGGGCGAGGGAGGTACAAAGGAGCACAAGTGCCAGGTATGCAGGCTCTGGGCCCATCAGCCCTGTGCCAGGCCTGTAATTATAGCTGCAGCAATTAAGGCAGCTCTGTGGGCGCCAATCTTGCCTGATTTCCTGAAACTCTCACCAGGGTTTACAGATCAGGCCAAGCAAACAGACAGATTGCACTTAGCCCAACAAGGCCGTGTTTCTTGAAGGAAAGGAAAAAGTCCTCCCTCAAGCAAAGGGAGATAGTATATCCAACCACAGGCCAGAAATCAGAGACAATGGAGGTGGAAAGGGGAGACTATTGTTTAACATTCAGGAAATCAGAATGGAAGTAATTTAGCTCCTTTCATTTCTAATACCAGTTATGTACAAGGGATCCCAAGGCCCAGACAATAACAAAAACAGAATGTGCCCAATATAAAACCCTCTTTCATCCTTCGGCATGATGATGTCTGAATGTTGGAAAACATGGCAGAGTTTACACAGGGAAGGCCGCATCTGACGGGTACATGCCAAGCTCTGGGATCATCTTTATGCAATGCAAGGCAGACTTTGCACTCCACACACACACTTGGCCCTTTCTGTGCTTATGATTCTAAAAGCACTCCTATATTAACATCCTCTTTATAAGAGATCACAGTAGGAGGTACTAGTGGGGCAAGTGTACCCATGCCTACAAAGAGAAGACCAACCACGGAAGGCTGGGGAAACAGCTCTAACCCCCAGCAAAACCAGCTTCCACGGACTCGACGCTGACTCATGGTGACTCTACGTGTGTCAGATTAGAACTGTGCACTGTAGAGTCTTCAATCGCTGATTGTTCAGAAGTGGATCACCAGGTCTTTCTTTCAAGGCACCTATGGGTGAACTCAACCCTTCAACACTGCAGTTAGCAGCTGGACTTATTGACCATTTGTACCATCCGGGGACGCCACGAGGTGGGGCCGACTCCAAGGGCATCTGGGGTAAAGGAAATGGGCTGCACTGGTGGAAGGGGGGGCACATTTCCCTTACAATCCACCGACATGGGTCACAGGAGCAAATGCAGATGCACCCGCATCTCTCTTCACCAACAGCACTTATGGAATATCCTCTCACTGGGTCACTCTTCTGGGTGTGCAAGTTACGTTCAACCACTTGTGCAAAAGAAACCACTTTACCTCTTTTCTTTGCCAGCTCATCTGGCTTTATTTCAAGATGAGCTGCGGGGACACTGGACTTAACAGGAGATGTTTTGGCCTTGGGCTTGCTTGGGTTACAAGGTTGCTCGGCTGACCACTGTAGGCCATCTGACCTCTGTGGTGCTCCATGTCTAGGTTTGGGGTTGTCGTCTACGGGCAGTTTCTGTTGCAGTGGTCTGTTGCCTTCTGTAAGAAAACACCACATAATGACTGTGAAGTGATCCACTAGAAACACGGAGACACGGTGACGGGGGGACGCCAAGGGTATTGTGTGCTTAGGGCCAGGCATGCCTTTTTTGCAAATAGTAAAGACACTGTTTCTTTCACAAGACTCTCCAGAAGGTTTAGAGCACGCACCAAAAAGAGCTGTGTGTCTGGAGCAGGAAGACTTGAGGCTGTGGTTTGGCTTTGGTAATATCTTACAGATAGTACCTGGGTCCTGGCTAGGCCGCTTAACACCTGTGAACCTTACTTTTCTCACCAACCACTACCCAGGAAGGTTCTGAAGATGTGTTCATGAGATGAGCAGATCTCCCCCGCCCCCTTCTGTTCCAGTAAAAGCACAGGCATCTTTAAGGAAGACTTATTATCGAAGCTATAAAAACGCAGACCTCCTATCGCCAATGGCTACATTAATGTCTTATGAAATTTTATTCTGAATTAATGAAGGCGGCAGAGTGATGGGAGCTTGGGCAGGAATGAAGTGACAACAGGTCCCATCGTCACTTTATCAGATTTATGAAGGGCTGACATCAGGAGACATCCACATACTAGCTCAAATCTTTTTAACATCCAGCGAGTCAGATTCTCTCTGGAGCTTTAATAGATGTGGCAATAAATTAACGGCACGCTATGTTTGGCATCTTTTAAAGGTAAGTTCCTATTTCGTTATTGCTGCAGTGGATTAAACGGCACCTTAGTGGCCTGAGAAAAAGAATGTATCAGCCTTACATCTTACTGCCAGAGAGAGCTTTGAGCAGGAGAAAAGGGAGTCCAGTATGCTTTTGAAGGTAGGTTCTTAGAGGGAGAGAGCTGGGTTTCATGGAAAGAATGCAGGTTAGGGTCTGGGAGCGCAGCAGGCTCATCTGCCTTATGTCCTGGGTGACCTTGTGGCTGCACCTACAGAGCTTCCTTTCTCCAGGGCTTACACTCACACAGAGCAGTGCCACTTCTGCGAAGCCCAGCCTCCTTTCCAGAGATAGTCACCCTGCCCCAGGTCCCTGGCACTCTCACAGTTATGATTGCTAGCTGCCACCAACGTGTCCCCTGACACATGTCAAGCCCATGAGCAAATGGCTGGGACTCCTGTGTGCGCCACCTGTTTTTTCACCGACTGACTTGCAGAAGTTGATTGCCCGGTCTCTCTTTCTGGTCTGTGAGTTCTGGAGAGGCCTGTTCAGCACACGTCCACGGCTGCCCCTCAGCCCTGCCTTGCAGGAGCTATGAGCTCCTCAAGGGCAGGTGCTGAATCAGGTTCACTTCTGAAGCCCCAGTGTTTGCACTCGGTGTAACAGGCATCTGTAGGATTTCAGCCGAATTAGATGACACTTAGAGTGGTTTCACAGGGGGAAGAGGACACAAGGAACACCTTTCCTGCTACTGCCACAACCATTAGAGACGCACACGAGCGAAAAGGAAGACGACTGGGTCCTAGTCAATTTGGCTTTAGACGTTAGCCCGTTCATCATAAATGTAAATTTGACTCCAGCTGAATCCATCATTTACGAGTTATATGTCAAGAAAAGCACAGCATTTATTTTATGAGCTGAATGATGAGTCGCTTTTAAAATTTACTTCAAGGGAAATTACAGTACTTACAAAATGCTTAATAGAGCTGGTGAACAAAGTCAATAAGTACAGAGCACAGCACTTCCTCCAGGAATGAAAGAGCTCTAAATGGCAGCACACAGGACAGTCTGTCTTCACGCAGACTAATGTTGTAGAGTGGATCCAAGAGCTGTGGTAGCTCAGTGGGTTAAGCCCTGGGTGGCTAATCGCTAAGTTAGCAATCTGACACCACCTGTCACTGACTGAGAGAAAGATGGGGCTTTCTACTTCCATATTTTTTTGTATTTTATGCCGTAGTTTTTTTGTTTTTGTTTTTAACTTTGTTTCCTTGGGTAGCTTCCTCCCGGCCACGCTCACCCCTTCTAGAAATGGACACTTGTCACCCCCTTTCCCATTCTCTTCATTACTGAATTCCTTTACTATAATTCAGTGGGGTTTTCTAGTGAAGAGATTATAAGTTCATACCTTTTTTCTTAAAAAGCGTTTGATATACATGGTCATATTATTTTTCAGTCAGGTTGTACCTATTCACAATTTACAGTCAGCAGTGGATTAAGCATTGGGCTGCTAACCACAGGGTCAGTGGTTCAAACTCACTCATCACTCCCTGGGAGAATGAGGCTGTCTGCTCCTGCAAAGATCCGCCGTTTCAAAACCCCCACGAGCAGTTCGACTGTCTTCTGCGTTCACTACAAACTGACATGAACTTGACAGCATTCAGATGTAGTATTGAGAATTGTTCTCACACTAAATGCAATCTTGAGGAAACTGAGAACTGTCATTTTCCCAGTTACAAATCATAAGATCAACTTACATACTTGACTTACCCATCTTGCATAGTAAGACAGGAACTGTGGAGGCTATCTTGTTACTGAAGCAAAGGAAAACAACAAATCTCGCTCTTGGGAGAAACGTAGGCACTTGAATTCAAAGATTTTTAAGAATACATGGATATCTTGGTAGTGTTGACACAGTGGTTGCAACAATGGGGTCAAGCCAGTGGTGGGATTCAAATCATTTAACAACCGGTTGGTTGGCTGCCCGAATGAAAGTTTCAAGTATAAAAAATGATACATCGAAAAGCAGTTTATTACTTCAACATGCTTTCAAACACCACTGTTGTGCAGATGAATGTTAAGAAAGAGTAAGGAATGTACACTTTGACGTGCACATTGGGTGACTGCCCAGAGAGAACTCTGATAACAAGTGCCGGTTCACCGACTTCAACAAAAAAATTAGGTATTGGTTCTGCCAAACCTGTGTGAACTAGCTGAATCCCACCACTGGCGCCTGCGTCATGACTGTGTGAACTGGCTGAATCCCACCACTGGCGCCTGC